AAGTTAACACAGTAATGGACAGACCAACATTAAATCCCTCCTAATGTGATACTGAGAATTACACCACATTACTTTTGTAGTATTCTTGAAAAAAAATGGAAAACTTGAATTTAATTAAAGAAGACCTCGAATTAACTTGAGTTGAAAGACTCTGTAAAAGTTGAAGTTGACATAAGACAAAGAAAAACTGAGCAACTATACCAGGGGAAACGAGACTAAAGATACATGGCAATTTTATGAAAGCTGATCCTGAGTTAAGGGTACTGATCATATATTATTTTCCTGGATCTCAAATAGCAAATGACATAGAAGGAAGCACTAAGTAAAATGATTATTTAGTAAATACTTATTGGCTGATTAACTATTAAGAATCTAGATGTGTAGGGTCTTTCACTTCATCAGCTCACCTCTTCCTTAGGAATATTTGTTCAAAACCACCCACAGGATACAATTGCACAGTTAGGTATGCCAGAGGAGTTCTGTCCTTCATCAGATAATTTATAGCAAAACTGAATAGCTTCGAAGGTGCCAGACTGCCAAGTGAAGATGTTTCATGATCTCAGCAATCACTCCAATTTATTTATTCTTAACCCTGAAGAACTAGAGAGCAAGGCCTCCTTGCAGACATGTCTTCAGCCACATCTTCAGAGAGTCTATATGGAGAATGTATATCTTGTTTACTTCTCCTTTTGGGAAATGTCACTGGAAAGATCGCAAATTAAACTTCCCACTGTATTTTATCTATTTTCAAAAATATACCTGTAGACTTTCAGCTTCTGAAATGGGAAGCTCATATAAAAATAGGATTTCAGAGTCTCTGAGCTTACTCTGGCTCAGAAGGCTAACCAAAAAAAAAAAAAAAAAAAAAAAAGCCAGGATTTTTGTAAAAATTGATAAATAATGCAAATCTATGTCCATGAAGCCTAGAAAATCCAAGAAATATATATGAAATCTAAAAAGGATATATAAAAATCTATACCAAGATACATCACAAGAATGTCAAGGTAAAAGAGAGAAATCTGAAAAACATCTAGCCAAAAACTACTGTCCTCCAGAAATGCTTCAGTGGCAGCTTGGATAAGTTAGTTTCCAGAGTATGAGCCAAGCTATTTTATCTTACAAAAACACTACCATCTCTTAAATTAATACACTTTTGGTTTTCTTTAATAATTATAAGGATATAAAGTGTTAATAGATAGATGCAGTAAAATGATTCAGCAAACAGTAAAATTTTGTTTTACTTTTAGTTTTATTTTCCAGAGAACTTAGATTTTTGAGGGCATCCATCGCTTAATAAACCAAATCAAGAGAAAGAAGGCACTGAAAAAAAATGTAAACTTTGATTGACTCTCTGCTTTTGTGTAGAAAACATGATTGATTTTCTTCAGGTTATTTTTTCCATTTTTCCGAGTGTGTAGTCCATTACTCATCAAATTTGGTTTCAGAAAGATTCTGAAAATTCCTTTACTCTTAAAAGCTAAAGATTGACTCTTGTTTACAAGCATGAAGAAGTCTTGCAGGTTTAGGTGACATCAGCGTGTGGGAGGAATGTTTGAAGAATCCAGCATTATCCAAGAAACATGGAGGATCCAGGAAACGTGGATTTCATTCTCAGTTCTAGACTCAAGTAGCTACAAAACTCGGAGATGCCACTTTACCTCAGAGGCCACAGTTATTTCATATTCTATAATTCTATGCTCCAGGCCACACTGACCTTGGGGTAAATCTAGATCTCAATAATGGACATATACAGTAGTTCCCTGGCTGTAATTCTCACCCAGTATTGTGGAATGTTAAGTCTTTGAACTATTTCTAGGAATACGGAGAGGCAATCCATATGCACTCCTGAAACTACTGGTTTTAATTCCCTTTTACTTACACCTTCTGTCTTCTTAACTATTTTTAGACCCTCTTTAGAGGTCTGTAGCTGAAGCCTCCAAAACAAAACTTAAATATCTTTCCCTTGACTTCAACGCTATAGTTCAGGGACTGGTTTGGACATTGGGTGACATCTCTGGAGACCTCAGGGCACTAAAGTGGGTGTAGCTCCCTCTTTGGGTTCCTCTCTGTCGCCCGGTCCCAGAACAGTGCTGCCGTGAGCTCCCTATGCGCATAGAGAGACACTAGCCCTGCTCTTTACAGCTTGTTTCCTACAGCCTCCACATTCGCAAGAGTGCCCCCTCAAGTCTGGAAGGGAAAGAGGAAAGAAAGGAAGGAAAGAGAAGGTGTCTACTAAAATGTAGGTGTAAAGCAACATGAGCTAGGCACTTCTTATGAACCTTCTTTTTTTGGTGACTCACTCTGCTTCGGCTACTAATATGCCTTAAGGGGTTAAGAGAGTTCCTACTTAAAGAAATGACTAGGTAACTTACCCAGAGACCATTCACTTTGAACTTTTCCATAAAATCCTAGGGTTTAGTGTTCCAGGACCAGGTCCAACCTTCCTACATTGGATTTAAGGGGTCTAGGCTATGTACCAAACAAAATGATTCCCTGAAGTCACCCAACTCAAGATTTAGTCCTTCAGATTTTGTGTATATTCCAGTCTTTGCTAAAAGTGCTAAGAATCCGGGACCTCATCTGGAAAGAATTCTTATCTGTCAGCCAGCTGTTGAAAAGACAATGCAGAAACGGGCTGCAGTTTGGAGCAACAGAAAGAAAAACAAGTAGAGGGCAAGAGCGTGTCATTTTTTTGGCCCTTCTCATCATGTAATTCTTTAACTCATACTCTCGTTATCATTTCAGTGATATTAATTAGGGCTGCTAGAGGTCCAATTACGTCCCTCCAAAGATATGTTGAATTTTCAGTATTTCAGAATGTGGCTCTATTTGGAAACAGGGTCATTGCAGATGTTAATGTAATGCCATTAGAGTCGGGTGGGCCCTTAACCCAATATGACTGGTATCCCCATAAGAGGACATCCATGCAACAACACACAGACACAGGGAGAGTGTCAAGTGAAGATGGAGGATTGGAGGGATGCATCTATGAGCTAAGAAATGCCGAAGATTGCCAGAAAACCTCCAGAAGCTAGGAAGAGGCAGGAAGTATTCCCCTGCAGCATTCCGGTTCTGCCGACACCAGGATTTCAGACTTCTATCCTCTAAACTATGGACAAAGAATTCTGCTTTTGTTTTTAAGCACTCACTTTGTACTCACAAAGTACTTGTACTAATGTACAGCCATGGAGACTAATACAAGGACTTATTATGTATCAAATCTCATTCTACTAGCATTGGATCAAGGTCAAATAAGATATGGTCTCATTCCCAGGAAAATGCAGGGTAGGGTTTTTCTTTCAATGTTTGATTAAGAGGTTTGCAGTGTTAGAAGGGCTTTTAAAACCTCAATATATGTACCCTAAGATTAATGAAAGAACTGAGCTGAAAAAAATGATATAGGTGAGACATATCACTCTTTCATAGAGTGATATAGGTGAGATGCCCCCTATTTTCTTCCTTTAGAAGTCTTGAGATGATAGCTTTGGAGATTGAAAAAATAGCTTGTGTTAATAATAAAAAGGAAGCAGCAATCACTAGAAGTCAGCATGAGTTCACCAGGAACTGGACCTGTCAAGGTCAGCTCATCAACTTTGACAGAGAAGTCAGACTGGCAGAGATAAAGGTAGTACAGTGTGGTGAGATTTTATTGAGAAACCTGGTAAATTTCCTTATGGTATCCTAGTGAATAGGATGGAGTGGTTGAGCTTGAAATTACAGATCGGTTGTATCTCAACTGATGATTAATTAATGGAGCTATGCCAATCTATAAGGTTTCCAGTGGAATGTCACAGAGTGTTTATGAAAGTGCTGCCTTGTTCAACATTTTTATCAGTGACTTGGAAAAGTCAAGTGTTATCAAATTTGTGTCTGATAGACCAGATGACTCTGCCTGTATTTGGATATGTGAACTTGCTTCTGGATGCCCTATTTAGGAAAGGCAGAGGGAAGCGAGATGTTTTGAAGACAGTGACCAAGTTGGTGACCTGAAGGAAAGTGGCAACTATGTAACACAAGAAATTGGTATTTGGAGATATTCAATCTAAACAATAGAAATTCAAAAAAGACATGACAGTTAAAAGGTAATGTGCTTCACTTGGATTAAAGGGTGGTGACAAATTGTTCAAATGAAAGGAAGGCAATCTCAGTTTGGCATAGGAAGAACTTTTAGGATGTGAATTTTTCTAAGAAAAAATTCCAGCAATGAAATTTGAAGGCAAATCTCTATGGGTTGATTTATAAATTTAGAATATAAGCCCAATGGTTAAGTGGATTCAGAATGCCTAAGACTGAATCCCGGCTCCTCTTCCACAGCCTACGTTGGCAACCTCTCTGAGCTTCAGGTTTTTCATCAGTATGATGGCACCAATGATGAAACTTCACATAAAATTGGTATAAATATTCAATAAGGTAATATGAAACAGAACAGCATCCAACACATGATTAAAAACTCAATGTTAGCTATGTTTATTTCTGTACTTTGATTATGATATGATTCCAACAGTTATTTTTTTGTATACCATATTTGAAAAATGGTAACATCCCTGGGTTCTGAATCAAGTAATTTTTTAAAGTAATAATCAAAAAAAGGAAGTTATATACTCTTTACCATAGTGTACCCTAAAAGTTTATGAAATGTGTCTCATGGATTTACCATTTACCCCCACGTGTGAAATCTTAGGATGTTAGGGCTGGAAGGGATGTGACACGATCTTGCCAAGCCTGGCCCTTCTTCTATAAGGAGGTCTTCAGTGGTCTGGAGGAGGAAAGTGCCTTGCCCTGAGTTCCCTGAGCCAGAACAATAGTACTTCTTATGTAGTTGTGAAACTCGTCAATTGTCTAAGGAAACATTAATGTCATCTGGCTGGTTTTTTGAAAAGGGTGTGAAGTAAGAACGTGAATAATTGTGACTTAATTAGAGACCTAGACTCAGAGAAATTATGGTTACTCCATGTATGAAGAATTTGCAAGACTGTTGACTCTACCATTCTTTCGTTTAGTGGGTGGAGCCAGCTGCCTTCATTAGAATAAATATTGTTTATTCAACCCAAGTATAAATGGAAAAAAAGATGTGCCCTCTGTCATTGAGGGTTGACTAACTGAAGAGTTCAAGCGCAGCAAAGAGAAGTGTCAGAGCATGAGTGCCAAGCCCAAAACCATAGGGATTATCGGAGCTCCCTTCTCAAAGGGACAGGTAAGTAAGAAAATCTTTCTTTGAATACCTGGAATTTTGTTGAAAATTTGGGACTTCAAAATTTGTGAGAGGTTATTATCTGGTTATTTAAGTTTTCTGATACAATCTGGCCTAGAAATGCATATTTTAGAGTCCTCTCACCATTTTCCCACATTGTATAATTGTAGTCACAAACCCTCTTACTCTGTGGGTTTGATCTCAGCCAAAGTCAAATTCATTTGAACCTGCAGAATGTTTCCTCCTAGGTTTTAGGAGAAAAAGTTTTTCTTTGAATTGAAATGGACTATTTCTGCATTGTAGCTATGTATTTAGGTTTAGTTGCTCTTGTTGCTTTTGATGTCACTGTGTGTATGTAGAGGAAGAGAGGATTTTAAGAAAATATATTTGCTTAGATATGTAACTAATACCTAGAAAAATTTAATAGATTGATGGTAACCTCCAGACTTCCTATAATTTGTATAACCTAAATGTTATTGTTTCATGCAACTTTGTGAATAATTCATGTTATGTTAGGGTTTTAATGATTCTATGAAACTGCTCATTCGTGGGCTAAGTAGAATCCTTTATGGACCTCTCTTGGAAGGGGAAAAAAGAACAAAAAAAGAAAGAAAATCCTACTGCAGGTTGGCAAGTCTAAAAGGATTTTAATGGATTTATGAAACTCCCAGACTTCCTTAGAGCCACCAGCTGTGAATCCACACATGCCAGCAACATTTTAATACACTTTTTTTTTCTGCCTGGGCACACTTATTCTGGTAAAGAGAATGAGATGACAGAACAGCATAGACTTCAACATGTACCTGTGCTTAAAGAGGATAAAAAACAAAGAACAAAATCAAACAAGACAACGTGTGTATTGAAACTCCTAAGGTTGATTTTTCTCCAGGTTTCTCAGAATCTGGACAGCGTTTTGCTTCTTCTTAATCTGGAACCCTTGTTGTGTACTCTGACTTTTTACTGCAAAACAAATTGAGAGAGACCAGAGGTTAGAGACCCAAACTTCATTTGGACTGTCAGTAAATACTACTTTTCTTCCCCTGGAAATCCTCCAAAAGTCTTTCCCAAACACAGGGGTATTTTGCTGACACCGAAGTGTTCCTTTTAAAATCCACGCTGTGCTCACCTATTCTTGAACAAGTTATAAAAAATATATAATCTTAAAAACTGACAAAAGGGAAGCAAGTCTCCTCTCTCCACCGCCCTTCTCCCATTAAAACATGGCCATGACGATGGAGTTCATTGTCTCATGATTGTAAGGACTAAGAGAGAGAGATTTTTTTACACTAAGTCATAGAGTAAAAAGGACAAAATGGCAAACATAAAAGCATTTGTACTCACCTAAAGGAGGTACAGGTTTGATAAGCAGGCAAAAGGAAAGGATTAGAGGGCAGATGACTAAAATGTTAAGTCTGAGAAAGGGCTTCATTCTCTGTCTCACCTCCTTGCAGGGCAGTGAGCAAACAATGAGGTAGGTATTACGTTTACCTTACAATTGGGTTGAAAAAAAGCTCAGAGAGATTTGGTAATGTGCTGAAAGTCACATAGCCTTGATTGCATGATTCCAGACAGGACAATCTGATTCCAATGCCTATGCCCTTGATTTGCACTGATGTCCCTTCAGATAATTCAACTCCGAAGGGGACTTTATACTTGTGGCCAGTAAGGGATTGGGCCCAGCTTAGAAAGTCAGTGGAGCTGACAAAGCAATTTCCAAAGTGGACAGATACAGCAAGCAAAAGGAAAGACCAATCATGAGAAGCCATTTGAATAAAACAAATAAAAAAGAATGCTGGAAAATTGAATAACTGTGTTATAGCAAATACAGTGTCTTCTAAGGGGTCTATGACATTTATTCTAAAGTCTGAAAGGGAGAAGGAGAAAAAAGCCAAGGAGTCTGACCAAACCGAGGATTACTGAGCATCTACTACATGTCAGCTCTACACTACAAAATATAGTGCCCAAATGTAAACAGAGCTGGACTGAAATCTAACAACAGGGAAAATGCAAACACAGACACAAAACCAAAGGCAAAGCACGAACCAAGCAGCACCCTACTGGGGTTGAAAGAAGGAGAAATTATGTCTACTCGATTGGGGAGAAGGAGGTGTGTCAAGCAAAAAGGGAGTAAAGGAGCAGATGTGTCAGGATGGGTGAGTCCCTTGCTGCCAGGGACAGGAATTTGACACCCTGGCAACCAGGGCAAGTCTTCTGGTCCTTCGAATAAGGAAGAGATATTCGCTTACTTTGATGCCACGGCCCCAACCCTAAAGATTGCCTTCTCCTAGCACATTGTGTCTTAGCACAAAGTGTCTGTTAGCACCTTGTCTCATCTGACAACATGTAATAATTCTCTGCATCTGAAAGTGCTGTTGGAAATTAGAATCAAAAAGATACAGAAAAGAACTGTGTCTTTAGACCTCTAGTTGGTCAGGGGGCTGAGGAAGACTTATCCCTTGGAGTAAGAGTGTTAGCTTCCCTAGCATCAAAGCAGCAAGGGTAGAACTTCCCATCTCCTATTTGAGCAGGCCAAGACTTGAAATTACTGGGTTGGTCTTTGTAGTTTTCATCTCCCACGTGATAATTTTGCCTGTTGCCTGCTTTCTCCTCAAGAGCTCTGGCTTGCTGCTGTGAGGACAAGCACGTAGGTCTCTTTCATGCCACAGTCTTTCGATGCTTTTGCCCACATTGCTCCCTTGGTTTGCAGAGTTTTTTCCAACACTCTTTATTGTTTTCTTGAGTACCTACTCATGTGGCAAGACTTAGAGTAAATATTTATTTCTTGTAGCCTTGACTGACATGCTCTGTCCCTGATAGTCTTAAGGGCGTCCTGTTTTTGTTACTATGACATTTTATATCTTGATTGAAGCAGCTGTGTATTGTAATTAGGCTTAAATGCCCATATTTCCTATCAGCTTATAAGGGACTCAAAGACAAAAGCCTTTTCCTTATTGGATCTCATCTATCAAACTGCTTTTGCACAAACTGTGTGTTCACTCTGTTGATAACATGGTTTGATGGGAAGAGGAGATGCAGGTTTTGGAATCCAAAGACCTTAATATGAACATAGGCTCTGCCACTTATTAGCTGTGTGCCTGTCTGAAACCCATATAACCTTTGTGATTCTAGATCTTTCTATTTGGCATAAGAGTCATTCAGTCTACCTTGCTGTGAAAATTAAATGAGATAATGTAAATTCCTGGCTCTGTAGGAGCTCAAAAAATGATAGGTACAGTTCAACTGATTAAATAATGAAAAGGGTTCTTACTGCGAGACTCTGATGGTGATGATAATGTCTGAAGTACTTTATTTTTTGATTGTTCAGCCACGAGGAGGGGTGGAAGAAGGCCCTACAGCATTGAGAAAGGCTGGTCTGCTTGAGAAACTTAAAGAACAAGGTAATTTTAAAGTTAAAAGATGATCAGCCTGATTTCCTCACCCTGAAGGAAGGAGCAGGCCCCTGTGAATGTGGAGTGTGTCTGGAATATTTACGCAGAATTGCGGTACTGGCTTTAACCTTAGAAGCACATCCTACAAAAGCAGCATGGCCTGGGAGAATGCTCAGGAAGCATCGCTGGATGTACATCCTTTGTCAGATATTTTGTCTTTCCAGCCAAACTGTGGTATAAGGGAATTTGCATGTGCAAGAACTGGGGTTGGGGTGGATGGTAGGGGAGCGGCGGAAGAGCAAATGGAAGGCAAGGGGCAGCAGGAAGTATGCTACTAGCAACAGGATTCCTATTTGTGAAATGAAATAAAATAAAAGAGTAATAATGATCATAACAGCACCTAGTGTTTGCACAATGTGTATATATACATACATATACATAAGCGTGCAAATGCAAAATTATGTCTATTTATAAAGTATGGGCTCAATTCTCTGTTATCTTTACATACAAGATGCTGATAAAATATTGGGTAGGATGTGGAGCAACTAGAAATCTCATATATTTCTGATAGGAATGCAAACGATACAGCCACCTTGAAAACAGGTGGGTAGTTTCTTAAAGAAACATAGATTTACATTTTGACCCAGCAGTTGTAGGTGGAGAGAAGTATAATTACAAACACTCAAGTAAAAGCCTTGTGTGGATATGTTTCCATTTCTCTTGGATAAGAGATTTGTACTTGAATGCTTGAGGGCCGCAATATTTATTATAACCAAAAGGTGGAAACAGCAAAATGCTCGTCAACTGGTAAATAGTTAAACAAAAAGTGTCACATCCATGCAATGAGATAGTACTCAACAATAAAAAGGAATGGGCTGGGCGCCGTGGCTCACGCCTGTAATCCCAGCACTATAGGAGGCCGAGGTGGGTGGATCACGAGGTCACGAATTCAAGACCAGCCTGGCCACGATGGTGAAACCCCATCTCCACTAAAAATAAAAAAATTAGCTGGGCATGGTAGTGGGTGCCTGTAATCCCAGCTACTCAGGAGGCTGAGGCAGAGAATTGCTTGAACCCAGGAGGCAGATGTTGCAGTGAGCCGAGAATACACCATTGCACTCCAGCCTGGGCGACAGAGTGAGACTCTGTCTCATGGTGGATCTCAAAAACAGCATGCTAAGGCATGAAAGACTACACACTGTGTGATTCCATTGATATGAAATTCTGGAAAGACAAAAGCATACCAAAAGAAAGCAGATCCACAGTTCCTGGAGTTGGGGGCAGGAATTACCTCTAAAGGGGCAGGATGGAATTTGGGGGAAAATGGAAGTATTTTAAATCTTGATTGTGGTGGTGGTTGCCAGACTAGATTTGTTCAGACTCATTGATCTGCACACTTAAAGATGAGTGGGCTTCAATGAAGAAGAATTATACCTCATAAATATTAAAAAAAAAAATACAGACAGCCAGTAGAGAACAGAATGCTTGGATAAATGGACTTGTCCCTTAACCAACTAGCATAATTTGGTCACGTGTTATATCAGGTGAAAGTTC